TATATATATATATATATATATATACATATATATATATATATATATATATATATATATATATATATATATATATATATATATATATATATATATATATATATATATATATATATATATATATATATATATATATAGCAAACTCTTGACAAATCCAACCCAATATGTGCAAGCATGAAAACAAGAACACTAAAAACTAGATTATGATGAGTATGTTTGATATACTTAAGGATGGGTGTAGAGGCAGTTATGTACATTTACTAACTTTTTAATGATAGGCACAGTGGAGTAATGTATTGAACAATCTGATGCATATTTGCTGATACCATATGATGCATATATACTATATAAAAAATCCTATATACTATATAAATATAAATACCGTATAACACCATGAATTATATAATTAACCATATGGTAATCACCAAAAAAGAGGAGATTTTACAATGCATGATAAAGTTCTTTCAAACTTTACATTTCACTTTTGTAGTAGCAACCAAAATACTTTATAACGTCAATGTTTTATGTTTGCGATTTTTGTGTTCACGTGTTTAATGTTCAGCAACTATAAAGCAACCTATAAAGCAACCTATCTTTAAATTTCACGTAAAGGAGAGAAGAATAAACCAGTAAATCAACTAAAAACATTTTACATACAATTTTTATATTTCTAATTCTATATAGGTTATATGTTTATTATATATATATATATATATATATATATATATATATATATATATATATATATATATATATATATATATATACATATATATATATATATATATATATATATATATATATATATATACATATATATATATATATATATATATACATATACATATAAATTATTATATATCAACCTATATGTTCTATAAAATAAAGCTCCAGCGAATATCAGAGAAAAACAAGAAATCTCCTCTCTTTGGTCCAAAGAGAGGAGGTTTCTATAACAATCCCCTAATAAATACTCAAAATTTGAGAATATATAAACTATGTATTAGATATATATTATATAGACTATATATAGACTACATATTATTGAGAATATATAGACTATATATCCTTATTTGATTGACTGTTTTTATATTATTATTATCAAATAGTAAAGTTGTACGCAACATTTTAATGCATTAGTTTTAAAAACAGTATCAACTTACTTTATTTACTATTTGATAATAATAATATTAGTAAACAGTCAATAAAATAAGGATACTACATTCAACAACTTTTTAAATATGCTTTAAAGTTGTTTAATTAGTCAAATATTTGATCTAAAAATCTTTTATTAACGCAAGGTTTATTAATGCAAACTTTTTAATTACAAGAGTATTAAAACGACTTAGATTAAATCACGTCAATAATAAATCTATTACTTGCCTTATTTAATCTCTAAATAATAATTACTTACTTTTCTTTATTTATATAAATAAAGAAAAGCAGCAATTGGTACAAAAATTTACGTTCAAAATGGCATTTGTTTTAATATTCGCTGAAAGAAAAACGTCATTACATTACCATAAACGGAGTGAGCAGGTCTCGGTACATGAACACTCTCTTAAATATATATATATATATATATATATATATATATATATATATATATATATATATATATATAATATATATATGTATATATATATATATATATATATATATATATATATATATATATATATATATATATATATATATATATATAAACAGTGCTAGAAGTGGATAAAAAAGGTGGCAGGATGGTTTATACTTTATAAAAATGCTCACTTCGAGGATTAGTGCTATATCCTGTTGTTCAAAAGTACAATTCCATTCTTACTAAAATCGCAGACATGGAAAAATGTTTACGTATGCGTAATTTCCGTGTAATTTAAAACCATATTAAAACATAAAAATCGCCTTCTGCGCCAGCTTAAAGCTCAAGGTACGGCTTACATTTATCTTTAAACTTAGGTAAACAGATTTATACATATATAAAGTTATAATTGAACATATATGGTTAATATAATATTAGATGTACTTATAATATATAATATATAAAGCAAATAAGGATTTTGTTGTTTGTTGTTGTTAGAAAATGTCATCATCTGGATCAAATTTTGATAAAATATCCTCATCTGGTTAGAGATTGTAAACCTGCTGATGTTTTGTTTTTCAATCAATCATTTGTTTAAATTATAATGTTAATGCAAAGTTAGGATTAACGAACACTTGTTTGACTTTAATGCTTGGATGAAAATAAGTAAAATTATAAAACTTATGATAATTCACAGAGTTTTTATATAGTGTTATAGGTATGTATATTATTGTTTGTTTTACAAAATAATTAATAATAATATTAGCGTTAATAAGAGCTAAATAGAAGTAACAATAACACTAAAAATAATTAAAAATAATAATATTATTAAAACAATGATACCTTTAAGGCTATAGGTATCAACGTTTTATTAGTATTATTTTTTTAAATTATTTTTAGTGTTGTTACTACTTATTAACGCAAATATTATTATTAACTATTTTATTTTACAAATAATAATAATATAGTAAAGTAATAACAACTATAGTATAACATAGCAACATAAACTAACTATAGTATAACTGCTTATGTATAGTATAGTATAGTATAGTATAACTGATAAAAATAGTCGTATAACTACTAACTAACTATAGTATAGCAAAAACATAAGCATGAGCAAAGGCAACAATAGGAATACTAATTAAGCAAAAGACAATAATAACTTAAGTTTTTTCAAGTTAAAAGATAAGGAAAAGATTATATAAAATCATTTGAATAAGTTGTTCAAGAAAATCAAATTTTGATTCATTTTTAGAGGAAAAACAACCTCGATCTTCTAGATCATCCAGAAGATCAAGTATATCTTTTATAAATACAAATATATATATATATATATATATATATATATATATATATATATATATATATATATATATATATATATATATATATATATATATATATATATATATATATATATATATATATATATATATATATAAAGAGAGAAAAATTATTTTGTCTAAATATTATGTCATTTAATTATATTATTATACTTTTTGTTTTTAGAATAAGAACGAAAAAGTATAAACAAAGACGTTTATACTTTTTCGTTCGAAAAAGTTCGAAAGACGAACGCAAAAAAAAACAGACGTTTTTTTTAAAAACGTCTGTTTTATTTAAAAAAAACAGACGTTTTTAAAAAAAATTAAAAAAAAGTATAAAACTTAAACTTTTTATATTAAAAAGGAACATGACATAATATATAAAAAGGAACATATCAGTTAATAATAAGTGATATTGTTGATAAAACTTCATTATTTAGAAGTGTTTATGTATCAATAATTTCCAGTAGGAGGAAGGATGGGCTGACTAAAAGTTTTACGCATGCATTGTAAGTAAATTTTAGTGTTTAGTTTTTATGACCTTACAAAGTTTATAGCCCCTCAAATAGTTGGGGGCTTAAACTTTACATAGTCATATTTTTTGAAGAGATTATTGCATGAAATTTGTTGATGAATATAAACTTAGATACATTTGTAAATTTTTTTATTAAGGACATTATTTATATCCAGTTATTAACAACTTATAAAATGTAATTTAATTGATTGAGAAATACAAAAACTTGCCTTACATGTATAAAATATAGATCTAATACTATCTACAGAGAGACTTGTTATTCAAATTGTAATTTTGTCTTTTCTTTAGTTGCACAACAAACAGAAATATGTATGTTTATTTTTTTAATAATTTTATTTGTAATCAATATTTATTTGAAATGTTAAAATGAATGTAAACTTAATTCAAAAACAGTCAATAATTTTAATTTTTTTATTTGTAACTATTATGCTTTGTTTTTTTAGTGGAACAGCAAAGAGAAATGTGTAGGGATTTATTTTTAGTTATATTTGAATTATTTTAGATATATACTAAAATTAATTATAGATTACATCACTGATTAACGATGTTTAATATTTATTTTTTTTTAAACTTATTTAGTAAAACGTGTTAGGCAATTAGAAGATAAGGCAGGTATATAAAGTTCAACTTATTTAAATTAAATAAAAAAGGAAAAAATAATCTACAATCGGAGATCACTTTATGACTTGTATATATCAAATAGACGGAGATCACTTTTATTATTTTTCATAATTTTTTATTGCGGGTTTTTTTGATACTGATATATATCTTATATATATATATATATATATATATATATATATATATATATATATATATATATATATATATATATATATATATATATATATATATATATATATATATATATATATATATATATATATATATATATATATATATATATATATATATGTATATATATAATATATATATATATATATATATATATATATATATGTATATATATATATATATAGATATATATATATATATATATATATATATATATATATATATATATATAAATATATAAATATATGTATATATATATATATATATATATATATATATACGTATATATACATATACATATATATACCTATATATCAGAGTGTTAGCTAGCCCAATCGCACCACGTATTACGCAGAATTTCAAAGAAGTTTAAAATTTCCAAGACTCAATGACTTTTTTGTGTGACAGTTTTATTTAAAATTTCTGGGACCACTTCTATAAAATTCCTATTTTTTTTTTTACAGAACAACAACAATAAAAATTCCCAATATCTCAAAAACGCGGAATAAATTTTCTTTCTGGCTAACAAGCTGTATATGTGTGTAGGTGTGTGTGTGTATATATATATATATATATATATATATATATATATATATATATATATATATATATATATATATATATTATTTTAGATATATACTAAAATTAATTATAGATTACATCACTGATTAACGATGTTTAATATTTATTTTTTTTTAAACTTATTTAGTAAAACGTGTTAGGCAATTAGAAGATAAGGCAGGTATATAAAGTTCAACTTATTTAAATTAAATAAAAAAGGAAAAAATAATCTACAATCGGAGATCACTTTATGACTTGTATATATCAAATAGACGGAGATCACTTTTATTATTTTTCATAATTTTTTATTGCGGGTTTTTTTGATACTGATATATATCTTATATATATATATATATATATATATATATATATATATATATATATATATATATATATATATATATACATATATATATATATATATATATATATATATATATATATATATATATATATATATATATATATATATATATATATGTATATATATATATATATATATATATATATATATATATATATATATGTATATATACATATACATATATATACCTATATATCAGAGTGTTAGCTAGCCCAATCGCACCACGTATTACGAAGAGTATACGTGGTGCGTATGTATAAAGAAGTTTAAAATACCACGTATTATAAAGAAGTTTAAAATTTCCAAGATTCAATGACTTTTTTGTGTGAGAGTTTTATTTAAAATTTCTGGGACCACTTCTATAAAATTCCTATTTTTTTTTTTACAGAACAACAACAATAAAAATTCCCAATATCTCAAAAACGCGGAATAAATTTTCTTTCTGGCTAACAAGCTGTATATGTGTGTAGGTGTGTGTGTATATATATATATATATATATATATATATATATATATATATATATATATATATATATATATATATATATATATATGTATATATATGTAGGTATGTATATATATATATATATATATATATATGTATATGTATGTACATATACATTTATATATATATATATATATGCACACACACACACACACACACACACACACACACACTTACATACATATACAGCTTGTTAAGTTTGTTAAGCTTGTTAACAGCTTGTTAAGAAGTTTTATACCGCGTTTTTGCGATATTGGGAATTTTTATTGTTGTTCTGCAAAAAAAAAAAAAAGGAATTTTGTATGCATGTGTATGTGTACATATACATATACATATAATCTGGGATATTTGTGTATATCTATATACATAATACTAATTAGTGTTATTTTAAAAGAACCTTTTATAGTAACACTTAAAAACATAAATGAAATCATGGAAAAATCAGGGTAAATTTTTAAGACAGGAAAAATCAGGGATTTTGTCTTTTTCATTCAAAAGCAGGGGAAATTTCAAAATTTAGTTTAATTGATTTTTGTATGGAAATGTATATGTGCTGTGATGCTTTTCCTTAATAAAACTTATATTACTATTATTGTGTTATTATATTATTTGCTTTTTCTTTATAAAATTAAAATTTTTTTTATTATCCTAGTCAGGGAATTTGATAGTAAAATGTGGCTGGCTACCCTGACTACATTAAATGTATTATAATTGTAATAAATTGAACTCAATAATGTTTACGTTTCTTTGATAGGAGGTGGGCCGAAAATGGGGGTGTAGACGACCTCTCCTTTGTTTGGCAGGGCTATAAAAAGAGTAGGGGAGGGAGACGGGGACGACGGGTGAATAAACATTTTAATTTTATTTATAAATTTATAAGTTAGTGTTTCTGTATTGTATATATATTTTTTTAATGTAATTTTTATTGTGTGTGTTTTTTTTTGTTTTTTTTCAACAAAAATATATATAACATATTTGACTTCCTTTGCCTTTATTTGAATTTCCTTTACATTTCCAATTGTATGTTTCAATTTATACATTCACTAAAATGAAAATACTACTGATGCAATTTCGACAACAAAAATTTAGCATGCATGAACTACATCATCAATTTCATCAGTCTTTATTACATATGTTGTTTCTTCCGGATGTTTTATTGTCGGATTTTTACGGATATTGTCTTTTTCGGATATTTCCGGATATTGTCTATTTTCAGGCTTTTAATTTTTTTGAATATCTATTAAGTACATACAAGTTCAAGTAATTAATATGCACTGCATGATATTTCGAATTATTTAGTCGCGTTTTTTTAATTAAATTCGTAAATAAAATTTTTTTTGTTTTAGAAATTGTAATTTTTATGCATCTTGTCGAGATCTACAAGATTTGTAAAATATTTTTAAATTTCAAAAATTTAAATGTCCTAGTTTTTGTTCAAAGATAAAAACGTCCGAAATATGCATTACTCACGTTATACTTGTTTTTAAACTTTTGAAGTCATCACTCAAACAAAAAAACAAAAAGTTTTAAAAAAAATTAAGAACAAAAACCATGTTAAAAAGACAATTTTCCAGACTTTACATATATCGCCTGGATAATCAGTTATAATAATGACTTTTATTTTTTTACAAAAATTAAAAGTTAAAATTAGTTAGCGAATTTATATTTAAACCATGGCGATACTTACTACAGGCTTTTCTGTCGTGAATCTGTATTTTTGCCATATGTTATGGAATTTATAAAACTTGGCCGAATATTTGAGTAAGTTAAGCCATTATTTTCAGTTAATCGACTTAACACTAACAGAACCGTGTCAAATAAAGAAATTTACTTTGTTTTAGCAGTAGAAGCTATTAAAGTTCCATTACTTATTCGAACCATCAGGCGTCTTAGTCTTAAGAGAAGGAGGAAACATTTTATATGAGTGCAAAGGGAGTGCTAAATAGTTATAATATTTTGACAGATGTCCCGTATTGAAGGGTGGTATTTAAGAGGGTAGTATTATTCAGTGATTGAGTTAGAGTTACGTACGTGTTGTTTTAGTTACAGTTAAGTAAGTATTGATATAGTGTTGCGTAAGTTGTGTTAGTCTTTGTTTTTTGTGTCTTGTGTTTGCAGTATTAAAGATATTGGAGTTTTATATGTTATTTAATATCTTTAATTGTATATACCTGTGTGTTCGTAAATGATTTGATTCTCCGTTTTATTCACTTTCGACGTTATTATGAAATATCGTAATTTTTTTTTAAATGTTGTGATATGTGACAAAGCTTCCTCTTGTCAGGGCCATGCTGAAATGTCTAAGCTTGTTTTGAAGAAGTTAAAGTACTAAAATAACTCCATTCTAAAACTATAAAATAAACTCTTTTTTGATTAGAATTATCAATACTGTAACTCAAAAAATCGAGCTTTATATTAAATACCAGTTAGCTTTTTAACCCATTTAGACTTAGTGATCCAATTTCGGAACACTCGACTTTTTTTAATTTCCTAATTTCGACACCAGGGTGCATTCTGATCGCTTTGTTAGTGAAAGCAATGCTGTTGCTTTCTTGTGGTCTGTGTCTATGTGCATAGACGTGAAATTCTGTTGCTGTATTGAAGTATAAAATTTTTAAGTATATAACATTGAAGTATAAAATTTGACTGTTTTTGCAACGTTTCTTTCAACTCATGTAAGTATTACTTTTACTTTTATGGTTCTATAAACATATTTTTTGGTCATTACTTATCTTCTGGATATACACTAGCGTGTTTTATACACAGTACACAGATAATTTTTTTTGTCATAATGATGGGTTTCTAAAATGAGGTGTTCCGATTTCGGAACACTAGGCACATACAGGGTGGATGAAGCATTTATGTATGTACATATTTATGTATGTTTTTAACTACTTCTTTATTTATTTTTTTATGTATGTATGAGAAAACTACCCCCACCCCCATAGCTCTGTCAGTAAAATATGCATATTAGGGGGAGAGAGCAAGGGGAAGAATACTGGGGGGGGGGACTAAGGGCCATGCCCCCCTTATCAGCCTTACAAAGTACACAATTTACTTTGTTTGGTTGCAAAAACAATTATAATTTATCAATTATAATTTATATTTATTCTAATTGTAATTCGAAATATGAAATTTCATAGAATCAAAAATTTTTTTTTCAATAAATTGAATTTAAAACATTCATAAAGTCAAAAAACTCTTTTTTTATTTATTTTGTTTTTAATTATTTCTTACAGATCTTCCCCAAGATGCCTAAGACCTTATCGTTAAATTAAATCATGGAACTTCTAGAAGAAGATAATATTGAAGCAAGTGCTATAATCATTGAGCCACCTGTAAACGCAAATGCGACCAATGCAATGCAATCAGATGAAGATTCTGGAGATGAAGAGGGTGGAACTATAAATAATTACCCAGGTTCTTTACTCCGAGCACCATATAGTACTCATTTAGTCAATGATTGAAAATTTATTTCCAACTTAGATAAAGAAAATGTTTCTATTTCTACTGTGCAGGAACTTCCCAAAGTGAAAAAAGTTAAACTTTCTAAAGTCACACGCAAATGGAAAAACGAAGACTTGAACATCCGACCCATAAAAGAAGAACAACACCACCTCAACAGATAACAGCAAAAAATCCTAGAGAAATTTTCGAACTTTTTTTAGATGACAAAAATGTGGAAATAATTGCGACATATACAAATCTGTACGCTTCTAGAAATGGATTAACTCTTGGCTTGAGTAATTCAGAATTCAAATGCTTTTTAGACATAATTATTTTGAGTGGCTATGTCCCACTACCAAGACGAAGAATGTTTTAGGAGAAAAGACCTGATACCCATAATAAAATGGTCTTTAGTGCCATGAGGCGTCATCGAATTTCATCAATTTTTACAAACTTGCATGTTTCTAATAATGCAAACTTAGACCAGGAGGACGATTTTGCAAAATGTCGTCTCCTGGTCTAATCGAATGTAGTCCATAAACCTAGTGTTCTGATTTCGGAACACCTTGCATAGAGACTGGAATTACCGAAAAACGGTTCCTTCGGTAAATTTCGGTTCCTAATTTGAAAAGAAACTGATAACTTCGGTTCTTTTCGATTCCTTATTTTAGACAAGAATCGTTATTACGGTAAATTTCGAATCCTTATTTTAAGAAAGAATCGTTATTACAGTAAATTTCGATTCCGATTCTCATAAGAACCGATAACTTCGGTTCTTTTCGATTCCTAACTTTAGGCAATAATCGAAATTACTTTAAATTTTGGTTCCAATTTCGGTTCTTAGCGAGAAATATCGCAAAAAATCGAAAATGCTACAAAGAATCGAAATTGTTACTAAAAATTGAAAAATTTGAATTTTTTTAATTTTTATTTTCAAAAATACAGTTGAAATACAGTTGAAAAATACAGTTATTCTAAATCACTATCAGTGAGATCAGTGACACTGTCTTTGCTGCCATTGCGACTACTACTAGCACTGCTATAAGCTACGCTAGTAGAACTATCACTAGCTTCAGTATTAAATAAATCTTTAGATGCATCATATATAGGGTTTTTTTCATTGGTGATTCAAGTACAAGTTTCCCTTTTTTAGCTCTTTGTAGTAGACTTTGAGACTGTGATTCATTTGGTTTCAAAAAACTTTTCATTTTTTTCTGTTTGGTTGATTGGGTTAGTGTAGATGGAGATGGTTGAGGTTGAGTCTGAGAAGGTGATGGTAGAGGTTGAGTCTGTGAAGTTGATGATAGAGGTTGATCTTGAGAGGTGGATGGTAGAGGTTGATCTTGAGAGGTGGATGATAGAGGTTGAGACTGATAGCCTGGTTCACCAGGGCATTTTTTGTCCCAGGACCTTATTTTTGATTTGACTAGTGGAAAGTTTTCTTTTAAAAACATTATTTTTTGAAGGGTCTCTGGCTTCATATTGTGTCTTTTATCACTAATAATATTTCCTCCTAATGAAAATAGCCTTTCTGAAGAGCATGAAGTCACTGGTGGACACAAGTACTTCCTTGCCATAGCAGCTAGTAATGGCAGTTCCTTTTGATTGACCTTCCACCATTCCAAAACCTTCACATCCTTAGCTGGCTTTTGCATAGACAAGTACCTCTTAAATTCCATCTAAAAAAAAATTTCAATTTGAATATACCGCAAAGAATCTAAAATGTGTATAAGAATCGAAAATGTGTATAGGAATCGATATTTATAAGTATCGGAAATATTTATAAGAATCGAAATTATTATTAATAAAAATGAATATCTACCTTCAGAGGAGGCTCTGATGGTCCTGCCAAAGTTGGTGCATCATTTCCATCATTTTCCATGGCCATTCTCTCAAAATCATTCATATCTTCATCTAAGTTTGGCATTGCAGAAGGTAATGAAGCCTTATAAGCCTCATTGTATTCTCTGGTAGTTGGATGATTATCTATCAGTTGGTCTATTATTCCATCTAAATGATCTTTGTTGCCCTTGATTAATGTGATAGAATAACCTCTATAAAATGGATCAAACACACTTGCAAGATTAAAGTCATTAACTTCAGTCATTAAGTTCATTAAGTTCATTAACTTTATCTGGAATCCTAGTTTCCAAGTATTCTATAAACCTGGTCATTGTATCTTTAGCAATTCTTGAACCTGGAAAAAAGAAAAATGAATAAATAATCAAAATTGCATAATTTGTTGATAATCATTGAAATTATTAGCAAGAACCAAAAGAATAACAATAAAATATTTTTTACCTGAAAGATTTTGTGTAACTGTCCTATAGCACATAGTAATCAATGAAAAGAGGTGTTGCTGGATCTTGTGAACTGTAGGTGTTTTATCTGAGGACCAAATCTCTGAGTATCCTTGACATTTTGCCAAGAAAGGATGAAGTTCTGCAATTACTTGAAAATCTTCATCACTTGGTATAAGTATTGTCAAGTTTGCATTCAGGCTGTTATCTCTGACAGACTTCCTTGCTCATTTCTTAACACTGACTTGAACAGCATTGCATTTGAATTCCATCTTGTTTGCACTGGTTGGATTAGCTTGATTGGATTACACCGTAGAGATTCACATTCTTGTTTGATTTCATACCAATCCTTAGTGCTTTGATGTGTCCTTTGAGCAAGTCTCTTGCGTTTATCAACAATTACAATAACCTCACCATTTCCTAATGTGTCTTTCAAACAATTGTTCAACATGTGATCAACACACACCAATTGCTTGTCCAATAAAGTTGCTAAACTGACAGCTGCCTTCATGTTAGCTGCACCATCATGGAGTTAGTTAGCCGGCTCTCAGTCATACAATAAATACAGTCCAAAAGAAACGGTTTTTCATAAAAATTTAATATGAATCAAACTTGCTCGAATGTATTTCTATTGATCAATATTGGTGTAAGAATGCTTGAGGTTTTCTTTTGAGTAGATGGATACTCTTTCTCCTCAATGTTTTTGTGTCGGATGAGTCGATGAACCAAGTCAGTTTTCGATTCATCAAGCAACTCGCAGTTTCATCAAACAACTCGCAGTTTGATCAACAAAATGTTGATTTCCTTGATAAATGTCCGTAAAATAATATATTGTTTCTGAAGAATCTTTATTCAAATCGGGATCGTTAAATAGCTTATCGTTCTTTGCTAATAATTGTAATTGTCGATATATATTTTCTGGATAACCTTCACGGTTTGAAATTAAAACTTCGATTTCGTGTTCTATAACTACATTAAATGTCATATTGATAGGTATAATATTACCACCTCCACCTTTAAGCTGATTAGGAAAAAACGTTATAGGTTTCATAATATTATTTTCAAAATAAGGTTGGTGATATGCTTGTGGTAAAGGTTTAGCCTGTTGACCAGTATAACCATCAGGATTTAATGTGGGACAAGCATCTCTTCGACTTCCATGATTAACAGGGTAATTGTCCCAATCATTATACACCATAGTTTGTAACCCTTCCATTTGTTTGAATAAATAATATGATTCTATATCAGCAAAATGAATTTCTCCAGCATGTAAACCTGCACTCTCTGTATTTGGTTCATCTGTTACCATTTTTTCTGCGATCTTTCGCTGTTGTTTATAATCGACAAAATAACTTTCGGATTAACAACTTTCCCAGCTAAATAATCAAATCTAGTATAAGAACGCATTTCTAAAGTACCATCAACATTCCATTTCCACATATTTTTCCAAGGTTTATTAATATCCAGATAATAACCTTCATTAGAAATAAACGGTTCTTTACGTAATCTCCAATGTGAATCAATATGTAAACTATGACTCCATTCAAAATATCCTAATATTTGACGACCAAAAATCTTAGATAACCAACAAGGATCACGTCTGGTAACAGCAGCAGTACTATTACTATCAAATCCATATCTCAATTTTCTTGTAGGTGGTGTTGTATAAGTAATTCTATCACCACCATATGTTTGAGTATACCATTGATCAGCATCACCTCCAGATTGAAAAATACTTATATTTATTTGTGAATTATCTCCTGCAGCAAAGAATAACATTTCTTGATCACTTGCTTCTCGTTGTTGAGCTATTGCACTAGTTGTAGGTTCAATTAAGAACGCTCTGCCAGTATCAAATTTAGCAGTAGCTTTTAAAGGTGAAGAACTAACCCCAAAGAAAGCCAAATTTGTTACCAGGTTATCCTTTTTATCTTCTCAGTTAGTTAGCACAACCAGAAAACACAGAAAAAAAAATAGCAAAAGTTAAATCAAAATATCATAACATGCCATATAAGTTAAAAGTATTCAGGCAAAATATCCAAAGGAAAGAAGACAATAAAACATAGGGCAGAAGTTAGAGAACTAAAAAAAAATAATTAAAACTTATTATTACAAGAGCCTTATTCGCAAACTTAAAGCGAAAACAAAGACAATGAAAATAAAAGAAAAACAAAACATAAAGCAGATAAAAGTAAAAAATAATACTAATATAAGCGCAAATAAAAAGTTTATTGCTCAATTAGAAAATGATATAAGTCAGATAAAAGAGGGGAAAATTTCAAATGTGAATATGTCAGATGATGATAAGACTTACCCTTTACAAATGAGGATGATAATCTATGGCATGTTATTAGCTAATGTTCCAACTGGTAACATTGGAATCCTAATTTCAAAAATTGGGCAATATTTGGGTGTTAACTTAACAGATATTCCTCATCGTTGTACTATTGAGCAAATGGCTCGTGAGCTTGGCAGTATAGCAGAATTGCAAGCAGCAGAATGGGCTATGAGTAATTCTCATCTTACTCTTGGATTTGATGTTCATATTAACACTGTTCATCTTACATCGAAAAACAACTGTCAGGTCATTGCTCTGGACCAGTTACCAAGTGGAACAGCTGCTGATTATGAAAGCCATATATGTGGTGCAATTGATCATTTAGCGTTTATATACTCAGATTTTCACTTTAATGAATGTCGTAGTTCAATCATATCAAATATATCCAATGCAATGTCTGACAGAGTATCAGATAACAATCTTACTGTTTCCAAAATTTGTAATACCTGGGGGAAGAACTTAAATGAGCAAAATTGTCATTTGCACCCTCTGGACACAATTCCCATATCATGCCGCGAAGTCTCGAAATCTCTAGAAATTGAACGTTGTGAATTGTTTGGGTATGATTGTATGGCAGTCAAAATTGTGTTAGTAATGAACAAGATGAGGTTTAAAGATGGCAAAGGTGATCCACAAGGTTTTGTAAATTTATTAGACAATAACAAACTCCCACGAGGTATTATTCCATGTATCTTGGAAACCGTTTGCACATTCTTTTCCATACTTGTTTCATTTTTAAGAAACACTATACTGATTTTCTACATTATCTTACTACTGCAACTGTAAAATGTTTCAGTTTACAACCAATTCTGCGAGAAGCATTTTGTAATACAACTGCAATAAAACAAATGGGAGTGCTTGCGCTGTTTAGTAAACTTCTCAGTGGACCATGGATGACTAAGTTTTATGTATCTGCAGATAATGCAAGTTTTAATCATGTCACTAGTATCCAGATCGTAAAAAATGTTTTGAAAGAAATTACTAATTGCAAATCTAATTCAGCTGCACTATTTTGCAGCAAGATGGATTTTTTTTTGGAAAATGCTTGAACCAAATATCTTAGAATCTATGACAAATTTATGCCCTATTGATGACCAACTTGTTGAAATGACTTCTGCTTGTCTTAATGCAGTTGAAAAAGTCTTGACTCGTCAATATAAGTGATATCTCTCCCTTAAAATTACAGCGGCACTCAAGATCGAGAAAGCTAGTGCAAGGCTTCACAATACAGATAGCAAAGAGTTAATTGGTATGTTTAGAGATGCTAAAGGACGATGTCCTAATGCAACAATTTGTTATATATCTAGCAAGTTAAGATCCAAAAAGAATAGGACTACAGAATATCTCGATAATCTTGACGTTGTTTCCAGAGTAAAGATAGTTAAGTGGTCTATTTATATGGCACGTAAAAAAATAATAAGTACTCGACTACTACATAATGAAATTCGAGTAGAGATTACTGGTAGACAGGTTTAAACGCCAAAAAATGGACGAAAAACAAAAAAGAAAGTTAGAGCGTGACTTATGTAAATTAACTACCAGCGAAATTATGAATTTATATAAAAACTTATCTGCCAAGCAACTTGATGATTTAGATGATGTTATGTGTGAAAGAATAGTCGGAAGAAAACTGTCATGATTGGTATGATGCCAAATATTCAAAGACAGTTATTTATGATGGGAGAGTAGAAAAAGTAAATAAAAGGCAACAGGATAGAATTTACACTATTTCTTATTGGAAACAAGATGAAACTGATATTGAAGCTGTTGAATATAAAATGAAAAAATACAGCCTGCTGCTGATGTTATATAAGGGGAGAGCTAATACTTTCTTAATTTGAATATGAAAATATTATACATTTATTACAAAAAGAGTACCGCAAGTTTTTCAGCTTGCAAATATGGTACAGCAAGTTTTTTTCTTGCAAAAAGAGTACCGAAAGTTTTTCAGCTTGCAAATATGGTACAGCAAGTTTTTTTCTTGCAAAAAGAGTACCGCAAATTTTTTTGATAGACGGCTGTGGCTTACCTTCACGTGGTGTCTATTGTTAAATTTTTATCATTCATGGAATTTAAAAATTAAATCATTCACAACAAGCCAAGACGAAAATTAATTAAATTTTATATTTTAAAAGACTTGTTATTTTTGTGTTGTTTTTTTAGGTTAGAGTGGGTAACTAGACCTTTTGCATAACAAAATTGTTACTCAGACGCATCTTGTAATGCGGTAAAATAGTTTTTTATATTAATTTCTCTCTGTTTAAAAAGGCATTTTAACAATTTTTTTAAAATTTTCATTAAAAATTTTTTTCAGGGGCGGAAGGGGGGCGCCATACACCCTCCTCCATAAAAGCAATTTATACACCAATAGACTTGTTTGTTTTTATTATATAGTTGTATATAAATTTTTCTCTTTACATGTTTTTTAAGTTTAATGTTTATGGTTTTACACTTGTGTTGTTTGGATTACAAGACAAAGTTGGGT